AGCAGGCTAGTGCCCTCCAGAATTTCATTTCAATGCCTTATTGTGAAAATCACAGAATATGGAATCTAGGAATAGTGGTTTACCCACTGCTTGTATGGTTATGATGCATTTACTATTTGAACTTACATTTTCTCAGTTGTAATAGTAGAAATTCATAGTTACCTTTACTCTGAACATTTTTTTTAGAATTCAATGAGATAATAAAGGTAAACAAAAACATTGCAAAAGGTAAAACACTATAGAAATGTTGCTTATATTTACTGCTTTTTATTAGTATACACCACAAACTTACAACCTGTAGATGTATTCAAAATGATTTATTCTTTTCAAGGCAGGTTGAAGGAAAAAATAAAACAAATCAAAATGAAATAAGCCATTTAGCAATATATTTCAGGGGACAGGATAATTAAACTTTTCTTTTGGAAACAAGGTTAATTATGAAAGGAAAATGTTAGTTGAAGTTTTTTTAGGTACTGTTATGAAAGTACTAATCTGTATGAACACAATGACAAAATCATAAAGAAAATTGTAAAATTTTGATAAGGTTTTATAGTTAAGTAGTCATTCAAACTTATTTTCTTTTATACAGTGACCTTTTTTGGCTATACAGGCTCATGGGGTACTTAATACCATATAATTTCATTACTAGCAATGTCACCAGGTAAGATTCAGTAAGAGTATACATCTGAAACGTGTCATGTCGCTTCTCCCTTGCTGGAGAACAGAGAAACAAGCTCTCAAGGCATATGATACAGGTTGGAGCCTGGCCAAGGTGTTGCTGCGACTCTTCAGTGAATCTAGATCTTTATTTGCAGCATCTAGCAACAGCACGAGTTCTTTCTGGGGCACTGGTGACACCTTGTATATCACTAGTACTTACTCTGCCAAAAGGTGGCATTGATCAGAGCCCTTGGGAGTCTTACACAGCAGTAAATGGAAAGGGAGGGATGGGGATCAAGGACAACTTTTAAAATTGACTTTTATTCTGCTTAAACTCAAACGGAATGATACGACTCTGCGTGCAGACATCTCTCTGTGGCGCAGTTCCAAGGAAATATGTTCCTTCCTGAGCCTCAATATTAGTATGTCTGTATTAAATGAAGTGCTTGCAATGTATGCCACACCAAATTGAACTTTTAAAAAATCTTCTTTGTCAGTGTTAGTGCTTCATAAGAGGACTATAAAGACTCAATTTAAATGTGGTTGTTCTAAGATGGAATCATTTTGAGAAAGAGGGGGCTTAGTATCATACCTGCTTATTTTCTCTCTAAGTTGTCTAGTGATTTTTTTTAATGTAGAGAAAAATGCATTTATAAAATAACTTCTCCAGGCCTTGGCCTGGTGGCTCAGTTGGTTGGAGCATTGTCTCATGCACCAAAAGGTTTGTGGGTTTGATTCCTGGCCAGGGCACACACCTAGGTTGTGGGTTCGATCCCCAGTTGGAGTGCTAATGGGGGGCAACTGACCAGTGCTTCTCTCTCACAGTAAACTAACTCTCTCTCTCTCTCTCCCCCCACCCATATCATCTTCTAAAATCAACAACAACAAAAACCATCCTCAGATGAGGATGGATAAATAAATAGATGCATAAATAAACAAACAAAAAACTTCTTCATCCTATTAGCTGTTGGAAATTTCAGCTACCCTATTTACTATTTCCCTCTATTCATCTTTTCCCTTCTTTTGTGAAATTTCCCAACTAGACCTTCTCTTCTTTCTTGACCATCCCTGATGTTCACCTGTCTTGACTGAGATTTTATTTACTCTTGATCAGGCACAAGGCTAACAGGAAATAATCTTGAACAAAACACATGTGCATGCGTAACACCACTTTGGTGAATCTGAAAAGGCCCCTTGATGGAAGTGGCATCCAATCCAAGCCCAAAGAATAAATGGGAATTGACTAGATGGAAATGTGACCGGAACACTACAGCATATTCAAAGAGCCCCAGGCAGGAGGAAAAGGGTGCACTTGGGAAATACTGGCAACTTTGTATGGTTTAAGGGTAGAGTTAAAAGATGAAGAAGCGTTATAAACAAACTGGAGAAATAGACTTAGGAAGAGCTTTAGGTGCAGAGAAAAGGAGCCCAGCCTTTGGAAAACAGAGAAACCATTTAAGGATGTTAGTCTGGGGAGTAGCATATTCCAATTAATGGCACATCAGATGTGTCTGACACAGGGTGGAGAATGTCTGACAGGTTAACTTTAGAGAAAAATAAAGGACATTGATTTTTACTTTGTGGTGTTGTTGTTAAATCCATGTTGGTGTCATTGTGTGCTCTTTAAAAACCTGAAACCTAGATCACTTAAATATTGGGCAATAATATATATCATTTGTGTACATACATATGTGTGTGTGTGTATATATGTGATGTATATATATATATATACACACACATATATATGAGGGATATGTGTATGTATGTTTATATGTTTTTTGTATATATATATATATATATATATATATATATAAATTCTATGCTAAGTGATAGCTCTATTCAAAATTGTCCAAGTACAAAGATCTTGTGATAGTGTGTCATTGCTTGTTGTCTATGATCTGTGTGATTGAGACAATAAGCTGACAGATCTTTTCAGTGCATGTGGGATTATATAGTTTTACTGTGGTTCAGAAACTTTCTAAATTTGAGCATTAATTAAATAATATAGTTAACTGCAATAAATCTCTATTTTTACTTGATAGAACAAAATAAGACAAAGAAAAGCTAGAAATGCTTTGTTTGAAACAAAAACTATAGCTTATTATCAATGAGAAGTTCAGTGTCTCTGTCAAAAATCAGAATTTTTAAAATGGTCCGTTCAAGAGTACAAACCGGATAAAACATTATTTACATTAAAGGAGACAGAAAAAATACTGGCAGTTAACTTTTAACTCTTGCCTAACTACTTCATCAAGTAGTATGAAATTAAGAGAATTTTTCCATTAGCTGATAAATTTGCACAAAATACATGTTAGCAACACCACCACCAACACATGTTTTTTAGGGCTAATGATTAATATCAATAAAATAATATTTATTTAATATTTATTTATTTTATTAACTAATTTTGATATTAATAAATTTCCAGTTGTCATTAAATTTTCTTAATTGTGTGCACTTTTCTTTTTGAAACATTTAAACTTTTTTGAAGCATACAAATTTTTATATTCATATTTTTACTGTATGTAATTTTAAGAATTCAATTATACTTATTTCAAAATGTTATATTAAATTTTATATTTGAATTGTTAAGTACTTAGTGTCAGTACTTTACTTTATGAATTATGAATTTTTATTTTCCAAATATAGATATTGAAATGCCAGTATTGGCATTTTGCTGATATTGCTTTCATTAGCAAAAAAGGTTAAGTGCTATTTTCATCCATTGATGATGGTGAGCTGAGCAGATTATGGTGACTGGGGAGAGACCAAAATAAACGAATGAGGCAGATGCTGTCTATGGAAGAAGAGGAAAAAAGATATTCTGCTTCTTGTGTGAACTTTGAATAAGTATATTTATGAACATTATCATCCACATAGAGAGGGAACACAGAGAAAGAGGAGAAACGCTGAGAAAAGGGGAAGGAAACAGAAGAACAAACAAGAAGACAAGTAACAAATAGCATCATTTAGAAAATGCTACCATTTCAATGAATCACTGTACAGGAAATTCACGCCCACTTCCCCCTGCCATCTCTGTACTGGTTTTGGAAGTTTTAGATACATCAAATACACTGTGAAGGATTTGGCATTTCTGGGATAGCCCAGTCAAGTTGAGGACACATTAAAGAAAGACAATGAATAACAAACATCAGGAAGCTCACTACAAGCCTTTCAGTTCCTTAAACCTGAGCTACTTTGAATCTGGCTGGAGTCAATTCCCTTAAGACTTCCTGCCAGTCTGTGAGGTTAGAAGTGCTACAGTAGTTTCTAATGTTATAGTGAGGAATGCAGCGAATGTATGTGTGTACTTTTACATTCTTATGATGAGAATATGAATATATATATTTTTCCAGGAAGATGATTTACTACAGTGATTACATCCATAGTATGGGTAGGACATTCCTTTGGATACATTTTTGGTTTAATAACCTATGCTATCTCATCAAGGTGCATAACTACTTTTATGTAGAACCTGAAATACATGTTCCCCTTTTTAAAATAATCTTGGGAAATAATTTGTGGACATAACTAATTGGAAACTACTTATATTTTACATTAGTAAATGTCAAGTTTGAAAGTTTTGATAACATGGGTAAGCTCTAAAAAGCATCAGGGTAGATCCATCAAGCTACTTTAATTTGTGTTAAGGATACTATAACTGCATTTTACTTTTCAGTTCATGAGCCCTTTAATTTCTGATTTTTTTTGCCTCTCCCCATTTGCTGCACCTTTAGATACTCACGCTACACTTAATGTGAAAGAATACTGTGCCCTGGCAGGTGTGGCTCAGTGAATTGAGTACTGGCCTGTGAACTAAAGGGTCACTGGTTTGATTCCCAGTCAGGGCACTTGCCTGGATTACAGGCCAGGTCCCCAATAGGGGGTGCATGAGACACAACCACATATTGATGTTTCTCTTCCTCTCTTTCTCCTTCCCTTCCCCTCTCTCTAAAAATCAGTAACTAAAATCTTTAAAAAAGAGAATATTGCTTTCCCCCTTTCTATACCAAGTTTGAAAATTCTAGGGAAAGCGCTTTAAATTATAATCCTGTAATTGTATACAAGGGAAGAAACATTAAGAAGCTTCCTGCAGAGCCAAATTGTGGTGTAATTTGTTTTCTGTGATTTGAGAAGAACTGTAAACAAACCTATGGTAGGTATGGGTTAAATGGCTTTCCCGGTACTTAAGCACCACTCTGAGACCTTGGAATTGGCTTCTTTTTCCCATGTTTAAGACACTGAACTGTCAAATAAAAATGGTGTCTAAAGTATTAGGACATTTTGAGGTCCTACTATGAACAAGCAATGTAGGAATTTTCTTTTGAATTTTATTCCAGGAATTTCTACTACAGGACCACTTGGCATGGGAAGCACCACCACCAGTACCACCCTTCGGACCACAACTTGGAGCTCAGGCAGGAGTACCACCCCGTCGATGTCAGGAAGAAGAAACCGGAGCACCAGCACCCCATCTCCAGCTGTTGAAGTGCTTGAAGACATTATCACACACCTTCCATCAGCATCATCCCAAATTCCAGCTCAGGAAGAGAGCTGTGAGGCTGTGGAAGCCCGAGAAATCATGTGGTTTAAGACCCGCCAAGGACAGATGGCAAAGCAGCCATGTCCTGCAGGAACTATAGGTATGTCTGTCCTACAGAGCTAAGCTAAAGGTGTGTTGTTACTTTGGCTTGCTCTTCTAACATTTTTTTCTTTTCTTTCTTTTTTCTTATCTTTTCTTTTCCTTCCTTCCTTCCTTCCTTCTTTTTTTTTGTTATTTCACATTTGCTTCAATTTTGGACTCATCTAAATGTCAATTTAAAGCAGTGTATTTTCAGAATTTGAAAATGCATTCTAAGGAGGCAACAGGTGAGAATTTGATGGGAACACATTGAGATCAGCACTTTCCACCCATGGTGTGTGGTCTCTGGTTGGAATTACACTTAGGTTGTGGATGTCCAGGCTACTCCAGGGAGACAACTCTTCTCTGCAACAGTTAAAGAGAAAGCTCTGGAATTCTGTGGGCTAGGCTGTTAACGGCCTCAAATATCAATTGCAAAAAGTGAAGTTGAGCACCTGCCTGTTAGAAGACAAACACTGACACTACCTAATTTTTAACAATAGATGTTTAACTATTCTTTTTACCAGTCATTTAGCTGTCCTTGAATAGTTGAAAGTTCTTAACATTGTTAGATTTCATGCAGGTAGAAATCAGAGTCCTGCTTATTCAACATTCATTACAGAGAGAGCAATCCTGCATTTTCTCCAAGGAATATTTAAGAACTAACTAGCTCTTCACTCCTTCTTTTTCACTGATATGATTCGTAATATCCTCAATTGGTAATCATATTTTACGTACACTTTTTAAACCAGAAATAGTCTGATTGTCTTATTGTCACATGCATTGATCCTCAAGGAACTTTTCTTAGTACAGTGAATAAAATTTTCATTATTCCATGTATGTAAGTAAAACAGATACACAATACATGTCACTAGAGTAGCATTCTTAGAGGCTGTATCTTTGAGTGTTTTTGATTTGGTTACTTTAAAGAAGCAGGCCTCTCTTAGAGAAGTTCCAAAGTGGATATTTCATTCTGAATCCCATCGTATATGAACTGGTGGGAAGCACAGAGGTATACTGGCTTTTACAAAGGTGCATGTTTATAGTTTTTTCAGCTGAGTAATTAAAACTATTCAGAAATCTACCTTTCCTTTATGAAGGGAGGCCATGTTTAGTTATAAAGTTTTCTGTGGTAACAGAATCAGGAAATGGTTAGAAACCTTTGCCCTGGCTGGCGTAGCTCAGTGGATTGAGCACAGGCTGTGAACCAAAGCATCGCAGGTTCGATTCCCAGTCAGGGCACATGCTTGGGTTGCAGGCCATGGCCCCCAGCAACCGCACATTGATGTTTGTCTCTCTCTCTCTTTCTCCCTCCCTTCTCTCTCTAAAAATAAATAAATAAAATCTTAAAAAAAAAAAGAAACCTTCACTCTCTGCGCTGTCCCCTTAGTCCTGGGCCTCAGTTCCTTCCTCATTGATGTTAGAGCTCCCTACTTCTGATGTTTGTTGTCAAAGTTAGTGAAGCAACTTTATTTGAAAGCACTTTGCCCTCAGAAATAAGTGACTATTTTTTGGTGAAAACTGCGAAAGAGATTTAAAGGAAGCCTTCAGAGGCCTCCACCCCCACAAGAATGTTCATAAATAGGGCCTTACTTTTGCCTTTCCCGGTCCCTTCTGCTGTGCTGTTGTTCAGGCCCAGACTGCTTCCCACTGGAACCACTGCCATAGCTTCCCACAGCCTCCACATCGCTCCCTCAAATCCTCCTCCATGAGGCCACCACAGTTGTTTCTGTTGATGAGCTTATTTCTCTCATCTGCTTCATGATCTTCATTGATTTCCCAGCACATACAGAAGATGGACAAGGGAGTTTATGATCTGGCTTTGCCTGCCTTTTCAGCTCCATTAAACTCTCCTATCTGGTAGACCTCAGTTGGAAATGCTTGAAGTTGCCCAAACACAACATGTTTTTCCTCCACAACAAATGCTCTTTTCCACATTATTTTCCTGAAAAACCTGCAGACTGCTATAAAACTCACTTGCCTCTGAAAACTCAAGCAAGAAGCCCATGAAGACAGGCGCCATAGCCATCTAGTTCATTCAGTGATTCCCCGTATCCAGCATAGTTGCCGGCGAGTGCTTTAAAAATATTGAGGGTTTTTGTTTGTTGTATTACATTCTCCACAGCCAGTTGCTATGCATGGTGTTAAAATAGACATTATCTCAGTTTAATGATCTCATTTTTACCTTTGCTCATATTAAAGCATAGCATGGACAGAAAGGCCTTGCAAGAAAAATGGTTTGAATATCTAAAGACCTATTTCTCTCATTATTTTAGGAGTATCAACTTATCTGTGCCTGGCTCCTGACGGAATCTGGGACCCCCAAGGACCAGATCTGAGCAACTGTTCTTCTCCCTGGGTCAACCATATCACACAGAAGGTAAGTCATGCGACTGACTAAAGAGGTTTGCTAAACCTGAGACCTGTGTTGTTGATCCTCACGGCTGCAAACAAAATAGTCAAGATTTTTTTTAACATGTAAAAATTCTCTCATTTTAATTTCATTTATGATTTAATGACAACCTATGATAAACTAATTCTGGAATTTTGTTGTTTTTAAAGAATAAATTTGTGAACTTTATCTAAGCCAGGCAGTATTAATCATAATAATTTTATTATTAATAAAATTTCTGTGGTATTGTGAATTACAGATATTAAAAAAGTCCAAGAGATACTATAAATCAAGCATGCAAAAGCTTCTAGCGCACATACATGAAGATGTCCCTGTGGAAATAATAATTACAATGAAAATGTCTACCTTTGGAATTTAAGCCATTTGATAAATGTCCTGTAACCTAATCATTTATCAGTGTTAAAAGTATACACGTGTGTGACAGAATTTTGCAGACTCAAATTTGCAGGGCTTATTTGGTTGCAATATGTTGAACATTTTTATTATTAATGCACTGTGGGGTTTCGAATTGATTTCATTACAAACAGAGACCAGATGTGCATTTATGCCAAAAGGGCTGTGGGATGAATCTTTATTATAGCAATTTGTGTGGATTTATTCACTCCCAAAATGGAGAGTCCTTCTATGGCACATTAGCTATGCTACGGAATTTCTGAAAGAGACTTTTCCTGAGAAATATTACAAATGATGGCCTTACTAAAAGCCTGTCTGTGCCATTTGCTCTTTCCTCTATTTGTTTTTAACTAGGCTGATCCTCAATAATATACTGTATAATAATCCATAAATATCTACCCAGTAGATCATTTAGCAGATGAGTCGTAACTATCTATTTACCCTAAATCATGGAAGAACAGTGGTTATATTAACTCTAGTTACCCTCTTACATATGCATCTCCATACTTGTTGCTATTCATAATGATCTTCTCCAATTTCAGCACTGTTCCTGCCACAGTTTTTATGTCCTTTGGTTTTTATTACAATGTAGCTCAGACCCCAAGGCAAATAACTCTTGCTAGATGTGATCAGATTAAGAGATCAGTAGCCTATCTCCTTACATTGCTGTCTTTTAAGAAATACTCCCTACATACTTAGCCCAGGGGTTAATATTAATTCAGTAATAATTCACCTAGAACACTGAGTGGTTTTCATGACAATTCCTGAATATGGTTGGGCTATTACTGCAGAAATTACTGGGCGACTTTAATGATGCTTAATTCTTTTCTTTCCTCTGCAGACCTGCTAATCTTATGACAAAAGAGATAATTCCTTGCAAAGACCAGACAGCTGTTGTTGTCCATTTGATTTATGGATGGGGTGCTTTTGTTTTCTAACAAATATGTTCCATTCTTCCCAGGCATTTCTGTTTAATCCTGTAGAACAACAAAATTATGCTCTTATAATTTTATTAAGGTTCTAGAATTTAAGCAATTGGAATTTATAATAATACCTTAGCTTGATTACTTACATTTACAAAATCTTCAAAAGTATAACAGCAGGCTTTAGAGCACAGCAGACTGGCTTATGTAACCAACCCAAGGTCGGTGTTGGAGCTTGTGTCTTAGTTGGGTCTGCCTTTATCAAGACTTCATGTGTAGCCTCCACACTGGCTAATTGGGAATAGATTTTTATTGCCTTTGTATCACATACTCACTGACCTAGTGTCTTTCACTTCTTCCCACCCTCTTACCTGGTGTGTCCCTCATACCACTATATATGTATGCTACTCGTTGGATATAAATGGCATTTGCACAGGTTTCTTTTCAAGAGAGAGTTAGTATGCAGTGTTCACAAAATTATTTGTCTGCATTTTCTCTCCCTCTTCCCCAAAGCATCCTCCTCCAAATCCATACATTTGCTCATTTCTTCCCTTGGTGCCAGAGCCCCAACAACAAGCAATGGAACATTGGAAGAGGGTTGTTTATAGTGGAATTCAAGGAGCGAAGCTGAATTGCAAGAGACGGATCAGGAACCCAGAACTAGTAATAGGAGTAAAGTTATTCCCAAACTCAGGCCTGTGGCTGCTGGATCCAAGGAATGTCTAGAAATGGAAAGCAGGGTGTCCTTGAGAGGGAAGATGTTGTATAGACAAGAGAGAGAGGCTAGCCTGAAGAAACATTTCCGAAACAGATCTAGGAGAGCAAATCCCTGACCTCACTTTCCCCCTTCCTCATTCACCTTCCCAGCCTCCCCACTGGCCAAACCCAAAGGGAAGCCAGAGAAGAGTGACACTCTTAATATTAATTATATGTGAGTCCAACCTGCTAAAGCAGAGAACCTGATGGAGGAGGATAGAAAATGACCTTGAACTAGCAAGGGGAAAATACCCAGTGTGTCTCAGTTTTTAGCTCCTGTTCTCATACCCTGCCTCTCTTTCCATCCCCATCTCTTCCCTTTCTCTCTTCATTCACCCAACTTCCCTCCTTCCTTTCCCTTGCCCCATCCCCTGTCCTCTGCTCTGGCCTTCCCTACCCTTTTCTTTAATGGATTGTTTAATGACATGTTGGAAAATTAAAGTGAAATAGGAATCTTCAAAGAGTTACTCTTCCCCTGCTTCCTCCACTGTAGTTCTATGAAGTTCTATGTAGTTCTTTTAAAGTAAAGGAATGCTTTTTACCCCCATGAAAGCTCAGATGAAAAAAGAAAGGAGGGACATTCTCTTCTTGAAACAGTGTATTCAGTTTCCACGCTGCAAGGGATTGTGGGTGAATGTACCCTGGAGTGTGAGGCTCCTCCTTTGGCTTCATAGTGCTTCTGAGGACTTTAAAGGAAAGAATAGTTCTGGGTCACGGTCTGCATCTACACTATGGGAAGATCACTAATTTCATTATCAGTAATGTTTTCTCTTATTTGTCAGGCATTATAGACAGGAAGTATACACAAATAAATGGACCAGGATGCTTACTTTAGTGGGGAAGAGCAAACTTTATATTTTCATTTTTGCTAAGAAATGAGTTATGATTTTCCCCCTGTAGTCAAGCCAGGAGGGAGAAAACAGGCAAAGAATCTTGATGGCTTCTGACTCACAAATGAATTCAGACCACTTTTATAGTGATGGCATTATAAATTAAATTTCATGTGGTAATAGAGAGTAGATTACATTTTAGTAGAGAAAAATGTAAGCCTTTAAAATCAGAATATCGTGAAGAAATTTATTGTAAACAAACTAGCCAGAATATTTTCAGAGTGATGAAATTAAATTAAAAGCATAGTTTATACAGAAAGGGAAAGGCAAAAATTTTGCACAAAGGGAACTTTACCTCAGCCACAATAGAGGTGGAAGGGGAGGGAGAGAGAGGGAGAAAAGCTGGTAGGGGGCTGGATAGGAAGATGGTAGGATAAACAGAAGGAAAGGCAGGTAAAAATAAATGGGTGGATGGAAAGATAGCCAAATCTTCTTATTAATGTTTACAAATATTTTTGAGTTTTAATTGAAAGCCAACAAATTAACCCAGAGTTCTGTCTTCTCAAACATATGTGGCAAAATATCCTATTTTGTTATCTTTCTTAATGACTGTTTACTAAAATTATGGTCTCCAGCTCCAGCTTGATCTCTTGCTTAGAGTCATATTTTCAAAAAAGGTTTATATTTTCTGGTTTGCACACCTTTAAAGAGTTCATTGCATTTTACAATCTCTCCACTCTTTTTCAATTTAAAATTCTGTGAGATTATAGTTTTGAATAGCTTCCATATTTATTTGCATGTAAAGTGAGGTGTGCTTCCTACTTCATTATCTGGTCCAACTATTGTATGGAAAAGAAATGCCTGCATTGTCACTGGGAAATAGTCTTTCTATGTCTAGCAAACTAAACTGTCTCTTGTGTGTACACAAGACATTGACACTTCTGAGGGAAGTAGGGTTCTTCCTGCAATTTTAAAAGAAAGATGTGTAGACCTAGAAAATATCATTGCTATTTTACAATGTAAAGTAAGCCAGTTTCTTGCGCTGGAAGACTAGGTTCAATCCTGTTACCTAGATTTTAATTCCTCCATTCATTTTCAATATAATATGAATGTAAATTGCTTCTTAATGTTATCAGCACTTGGCGGGGTTTTCAAGACTTTAGACTTGTTTTAACCTTCTTTCAGATGTAAGAAAGAAGCATTTAATTGTTTACATATCTGTGTCTCAGATTTATAGCAAAAAAGGTAGATCTTTCAGTGAAATAGTACCATATACTTAAACACTAAGAGTAAATCCTTCATGAATTGTTTTGAAACCACATTAATGTCGGATGTAATAAACCTCATCAAGTGTCAAGCTTATTTCAAAGAAAATTGTTTTTTATGTTTGTCTAAAGTTGAAATGTAAATAAGCTGAAATATCCATCTCTGTCATAATTATATTCATCGAGTAAAGCTGCAGGGTTTCCCCCTCCCCTGTTTGAGTCCTACCTACAATCCCACGATTTCAATGTAAGCATTAATTTACTAACCCTCAGAAAACTCATGCAATTTCTCAGTGTGCATGTGCTTGTTTCTCAGAAATAATTTTAGTAGAATTTGGTAAAAGAAATAATAGAGATAGACATTTTAACAAGATCTGTTAGCTAGGAAATGTAAGATAACTATTTTGATCTTGCCTTTGCATAGAAGACTTGAGGCAGATTAAAAATACGTGTATATCTTTTATTGGAAATAAGATAATTGCCCATGATAACAATGGGGATAAAAAGGAATTGCACCATCTCAGAAAGACAGTAGAGTAGCCTCCGGATGCCAGTGGACAGAATATGGCCAGTAAAGGCTTGGTCTGGAAAGGCAGCCTTTTAACTGAAACGTGAACGTTGAGGTCTTAGTGGCTGTGTGAGAATCCAGTTAAGGGCACACCATTGACTCATGGAAACAAGAAGCCTGGGCCTGGCTCTTGGTGCCTTCTGTCCTTTCCTATTCCATAACAGATAGTAAGCCTGTCCATGAACTTGTGAGTCTCTCCCTATCAGGCCCCTTTTTGCTGCTACCACCCTGATCCACAGCAGCTCCTGTCACTCTGTCCTTGCAGCAGGCCTCCTTTCATTCACTCCCTGAACCCTCTCACTCAGTGATTTTCAACCTTTTCGTGTCCTGACACACATCAATTACTACAATTCTGCAACTCACCAAAACATGTACTCTATTTTCTGCCAGCCTGACAAAAAGTAGTAGGTACAAACTTGGTTCATTCACACTGGACAGCTATTGTTGTGTTAGCTGTTGTCAGTTTTTTATTTGACCATCTAAGGGAAAAGAGGTCAGTGACTCTGACTAAATAGTCAAGTATTGCATGTTTAGAAATCTCTGTGGCACACCAGCGTGCCACAGCAAGCTGGTTGAAAATCACTGCTCTAACTCTTTCTCCGGAGTTTTATTTCAAATGCCAATCTGACTAGACCACTCCTAGTCAGACACTTTAGTACTTTACCTGGCTCTTGGCACGGTTCTCAAAATATTTATAGTGACTTAAGGGGGCTCTTTAATCCTCTCCTTGCTCAGCTCCCCAGCTACTTAAAGCTGTTACAGTGCCCCCTACAAAAGATGTTCTCTCTACCTGGAGACACCCACCCTCATCCCAAACCAATGTCTTCTTTCCTTAGAGAGGCATTTTTTAAATTATTCCCTGCATTCATACACCAGGTTAAAATGCCCTTAAATTGGTATTCTGTATTGCACTACATAAAATTGAAATTAAGTACTTCTGCAGTCAATTTATTACCAGCACTTTCCCACACTGGTGTGTAAGCTCCTTATGTTATTGGGAACCATTTTGTATCCTATTAGAAATTATGGATAGCACAATTCTATTAGAAATTCAATTTTGGTTAAAAAGCAAATGAACATATAGACAAAATAAATAATTGTTGAAATTAAAGGTAGAAAAAGAGATATTCATACTATGTTTTGAAAAACTGGATATAATATATATTTACTACATATAACTGATGCTATGTAGATATCAATATGGAATTCTGAAGGTAAAAATAAATGTATTTTTTCCAAACCATGTTTTTGGTTTGGGAAAGCCTGTCTTCCCAAACCATGGTTATTCCAGAGCTTACTTTTTATACAGCTTCTTCCTGGCTTCCTCTCCACTGGCCCAGAACAGTATTCCATCTTACTTGGTTACCTTCAGTTTCCTCTAAGGCTTCACTGGTTTTTCCCTGCTGTTGCCTTCCCTCCCCATTTCTAGGGGTGTTTTACCCCTGTGCTATATTTCCATAATACCTCATATACATTCCTGTTATTAAAAATTGCATTATTGGATTAATATTATGTCTTTACCCTCTTCATGCTCTACCCCAACTCCAACTGGCAGAGTGTGAGCTTCCCGAGTACAAAAGCTGTATAACATTTGCTTTTCTTTACTCAAGGAATAACAAGTGCCCAAATGATTACTGAGTGAATGAAAGATTTTACCATGACTTCTTCAGTTATAAGAGAAAAATGGGATCCAAATAAATAGTTACATGATTTTTATTTTACTTTAAAACGTGCTTCTCATATTTTTATTATAAACATTTTTATAACTAATTTATACCTTAGGGATATGTTTTACAACTTTCTTGTTGGTGCATATTGAATTTAAGAGTTCTTTTGCAAAGTTAATTACATTTATTACTCATAAAGGAATACTTCTTGGGTGCTAACATGCAGCTATGATTTTTCAGATAATGAACTAGTAATTTTCATATTTGACCCACTGTTTTTATCTGCTATTGATACATATAGTCAGCATTGCCATCTTTTATGTTGAGAACAATTATATTTTAACTTATTAGTCATCCACATTTTCCAATTTTTCCTCACTGTATGTATAAAAAAGTTTAAAGTGTTGCATAAAGGAATTACATAGACCTTATTTTCCAGCTTATCATGTTCCACCTGATATTGTAATAATTAATAATAAAAACTATGTACATCTAAATAAGAAAAAAATGAAACTAGATTATGAAAATACCAGTGCTATTATTTCCTTTTTTTCTCTGCTTGATAAATAATTTGCTTTTCATAATGTTCCCTGATAGATGTGATGAAAGTCAGTGCATTATTATGTGGTAAACAACAGAAGAAAACAATGTAATAATAAGAAGAAGAACAACATCAATGATAATAAAACAACTACACAAGACCACAATGAATAACAAAATAAAACAATAGTAATTCTATGAAAACATTAAACTTATTTTTATATATGTTACATAAAATATAACAAATACATTAAATTGATGATTGCTCTACATGGGCTATGCAAATATACAGGAGTGGTTTCTGAGGGAGATACACATTTCCACAAATCCTTGCCAACCCTTAATATTATTAAATGTTTTAATGTTTTGAATGAGATTGTTCTATACACTTGAGGATCTGGTGATTAACAATTTTGATATTCAAATCATTCCAATTTATTCATTTGTTTAATGTTCAATCCTGCTAGAAACATTCATTGAACATCCCTGAGTAGATAGTGATGACCTACTTGAGGAAGAGTGTTAGTTGTGGTCTTTAGAGCTTTCAGAATACCCATTAGTGAGACTGCATTGAAAAGAGAGGACTTTTCTTTTTGTGACCCTAAGTTCTATATTGCACTATACTTAATAAAAGAAAAATAATTGCTAAATACTGACAATAATATGTTTAAGTTATAATGGGGCAAGGTATTTCTATGTTCTTATTATCTAGAGCCATTAGATTTCTTCACATGATTATGGGATTAACCTTTATCTCTTTGAACATCTTTGGAATTTTGGCATTTGATATATTCTTGTAAAATGTACTTGAAAAATCAGCATACAGTTTCAGAAAATGAAAAATGCTAGAAACAGCAATAGTTTGCTACCTAGTGCATTAGGAGCAAAATATCTATTCAGTAGGTAAGAAGATGAAGACCACTTTGAAAAGCAGAGATTTTATTTAGAATAAAATTTTCACAGAGCTTAGCAAGCTGTGTGTACTCATTGTATACTAAGTGCTGAATTAGGCACAATGGAAAATTTGTACTTGCCTCTGAGAACTAAGAATACAGTTGGGGATTCATAATGCAACCTCATCAACATCCAATTTAGAAACTTAGAAAAATCATAGGGCAAATAGACTTAGCCACCCAAATGGATAATTAAGGTATGAACAAGTTTTTGAAGTTAGATTCCTCAGGAGGAGCTTCATAAAGACATGAATTTCAAATCAGGTGCTGTAGAGAAAAATGAATTAACAGGAAAACTCAGAGAATGTATTCCAGGTGAAGATGGAGTTTCATAACTATTTCTTGGCTCAATGATTATACTTATATGCAAAACAGTTATCCACAGAGACCAATAAAATTACTTAAGATGGTTTTCCTTCTTACTCTGTCTTCAAAATTGCAGTTGAAATCTGGAGAGACAGCTGCCAACATTGCTAGAGAGCTGGCTGAACAAACAAGGAATCATCTGAATGCTGGAGACATCACCTACTCCGTCCGTGCCATGGATCAGCTGGTAGGCCTCCTGGATGTCCAACTCCGGAACTTGACCCCAGGTGGAAAAGACAGTGCTGCACGCAGCTTGAACAAGGTAAAGACCTTAGTGATATAGAACTTCAAAGTTGTAGTCAAGTCAGTGAGACTTGCTTGGTTAATTTCTTTTTCAAATAACATCAGATCATTCTAAAGAGCACTGCTAGTTACCTAGTCAGTTTGTTTCACTATCTCATTATAATTATGACTCTATTTAATCCACCCAAATGATAATCTCTCAAAACATATATGTTTTGAATTTACACTTCTATTTTTTTATACTATTTACTCTGTTCTGTGTGCTAAATTCTGGCAGGAATAAATATAATCTATTTTGTTTCTATTTTTTCCTTTCAAACTTTTATATTAAAATGATTAATAAAAAATAAATGTCTAATCAATAAGTATAAATTTAGAAAATAGAAACAATGAAAAAGGATATTAGCAATTCATTCTAGGTATTTTTTAAATGAAATAATTTAATCTAATTAATATAGTATTTAAAAACTCCCTGGGCAGGTGACTAGGTTTTAATTTTTATATCCTTTTGATATTTAAATTGCTAAGATTTTACATCACTACAATAAAACTTAAAAGGTTTAATGTATTTCAGGAAATGTGATGGTAAATAATTCATTTTTTAAATTTTAGAAAGCATACATTTTATATATTTTATTTATATTTATACATGCAAATGTATACATTATACACACATATAAGCATTTTATATATATATTGTATATAACCTATATACTATATAAGCACCTTATTTACATAAATATATACAATGTATTTTATACATTTATAATGAATATAATTTATATAACAACATATCACATGGTGAATCAACTTCATGGTAAAACTATATTAGAATTCCTACCAGCAAATGACTTGTGTTCTCTGAAAAGTATTTGTGTGGTAGAGATGATCAGTTATTAAAACTGTATTTTAAAGCCTTGAATATCATGATAATCTTACTACTTAAACAGTAAGAATTTGGCACTGACAATGTCCTTCCTGGAATTCACTAAATGAACATTTCCTTTTAAAATGAAAAATGACTTTGCAGCATGGTATATGTGTGTGTATATATACATATTTCTTTTGTGCGTTATTAAACTAAGGGTCTCACTCATTAAGATGGAAGAAATTTTTTGAATAGTGATGATATGACATAAGAAAGTCTGATTTTTATCTGGCAAGTTTTTGTTGCAATTTCATCCTCAGAAAACATACTCAGTTTTATCTTTTAGATAAAATTATTTTTTTGAAGAGCATAAAGGAGTTATTTTTGTCAGTTAAATCCATGATAAAATCAACCAAGCTCTTGGTAGAATATAATCTACTGTTGCCTAAGTAATCTTGGCATGCTGTGATTTTAATGTGTTATTATGCAGGCTGACTAGATGCTATTAATGAATATTGCTGCCAGCTATTGTTATCATAATGTACTGCGAGTAGTAATTTCTATTAATGTTACATATCCATAACATTACTTGTTATAGCAATACTTTGTATCTTTATTTAAAAGTAGTGCTGATGTCTGAAAATATCAGGTAAAGCTGGCAATTAATGTCACATTCTAACTGGCTACAGCTAATCAGCTTGCCTTCTCTGAATATCAAATAACTACATAATGGGCAAATTTCCATTTGTGAAGCTTTTTAATGCTCTCTTTTTTTTCCCATTTGGCTCTTTCAATTGTTTATATAATGTGGTTTGTCATATGTTAATTTGCATGGTGAGGTAAAGAGATGGGAGGGCAAAGGTTATTCACCTGCTTGCTGGCTTGTTCTCATTTCCTGTGGTTTGCACTGTTCCCTGAAACAGTTATAACCCATCATATTTGCAAAGTCAACTCCGTACAAATCAATCGTGCTCCATGTTGAAATTCTGGAGGGTTTAGAGTCCTGCAAAACTCAAGATGCGAGTCAATGATCCAAATGACAGCGATGGTAATTGATTTGCACTCATTCCTCGCTCGATTCTTTAGAGGAGTAACAGCTCCGTGCCCATTGAAGAATGCAGACACTAAAGTTAGGAGAGTGTTAGCCACACAAAAGGCAGTGACTGCTTCTCAAAACTGAGTAATTTTCTCCTTCAACAATCAAGGCTATGGAAGGGGAAATAATAGGAAAAAGTAGGAAACCCACAATCTAATTTACATAATTTGGGGTCATTTATTTAAATAGTGCAAATAAGCTTATTCATCTTTTTTATCATTGGGAAAAATGTTTGGGACTGGACATGACTTACTGTTAATCTTTGCTCAGTAAAACATCATTGCGTATGCAAATAAATAAATGAAAACAGGCTTCTTATTCCCCAGAAGTTTCTAAAATGTATATTTTTTTATTTGGCCAAAACTGTCAAAAGAAATTATTTAAGAAATAAAAGCAATGGTAAATCAGGATATTGTTTACAGTCTTTTAGTCAGAAGTTGCTTATCTCTTGGTATTTGTCCCTTAGAATCAAATAGTCATAGTGAATGGGCACTTCTATTTTTCTGATAAACAGAATTTTTTGTATGTTTGAACACATAGTTTGTGGTTGCATACTAACCATCTATATAATATGTAAACCACAAACAACATCGTATCTTTGAAAAGTGGGTTCCAAATTTTTTTCATAAGTTACTTAACTTCATATGTCTTCATTTGTGGCCCATGAATTAACAACTAACATGGTGGGAAATGGATCATTTCAAATGAATGAAGTATATTGATTTTTACTAATTTCTACTAAGTTTATTCCAAGATTTCTTTCCATCATTAACAGCTTCACACCATCAAGTTTTCACTTGGGTTGTTCGGAAAGTGTGTTGGCCACTATTTTTCAAGCCAGGGCTTACATTTTGCTGCTGCTTAGCTCTCATTCTCTTCTGGAGAGTAGTACACAACAAAATACGGTGTTTTGTGTAGATGTGTTCTTTTATTTTTCTTGTTCCTTCTGTCACTAACTTGTTTTTTCTATTCTGTGTTTAATCTGCTGTCTTAATGGATTCAGCTTCAGAAAAGAGAGCGCTCTTGCAGAGCCTATGTCCAGGTACTTTCCAAGTTTTTATAAATGTGTTAAGTTGTTGAATTGTCTTTGCTGGTGATAGCACGTATGGGCATCTGAAAGAAAAAAAAAATGATAGTAAACACTGTGAACTAAAGAAATTTCAGGGAGGGTACCAAGGGTGGGAATGGAGAAATCATATGAAAGGGTATGTGCTGGAAAGATGTGGCAATGCCAATGCTCCATCACACAAGAGACCCAAAGACTAAGAAGGAGGTGCAACTTGGGGCATGAGAAATGTGATCATCACTAAAAGGTGAGTTGGGTGTAATGTATTTGTCTCTGATTTCTTCATAGAGGTGTGTACAAAAACATTTCATTAATATATTGGGCCAGCTAACGTTTGAGTAGCAAGTCATTCAGAATGACAGTCGGCCTCATGTAAGATAGGAATAGTCCAGGATACTTGCTATACCATGCTTCTATACCACAGTATTCAAGGTAGGCTGCAATTAATCCCAAAGTAAATGTAACTTTCCTCCAGTTAACATGGTGCAGTCTGTTTCTAAGCAAGATGAAAACCATTTCAATATTTATGAGTTATGTATGAAACAAAAAATCCCAGTAATAAGCTTTATAGTTCTTTTTACAAGGAAGGAAGGAAGGAATGCAGTGTAGGGGCGGGAAATTTTCCTTTCTTCCGTTCTAGGTTCTTTAGCTGGTCTAATAATAAAATTGATGTGAGACAGGTTAGCAGGAAAAAAAGAATTTTAACTATGTGTGGGAGCCCTGTGAAGACATGAGACTCGAAGGCAGTTGTGCAGTTGGGGTTCATATGCCATTCTGGGCTACAGAAGGGGATGGGGCCCGGGGCTTCAAAGGGGAGGAGAGAAACGCACAGCAGAATGAGAAGCACAGATGTTTGGTAAACAGATGTTGGCCCTGCCAAGCAGACAAATCTTTCAGATTAAAAATAATGACTTTTCTGGTAATAGCTCTTTTTCTGATGTAGGCCCCCTATCTAAATTCTCTTTGGTAGTTAAGAGAGAGGTAAAAATATCCCTGAGTCTGCTGGTCTTGATGACCTTCAGCTAAAAGTTATCCGCATGTCAAAGTGAACAGTTTGGGATGCTTTATGATTCTCCCCTTCATCAGGAAGGGAGGAAAAATATGAAACTGTGACTATAAACTTTATCCTTTATGTATATCATGTCATTTTTAAAGAGGAAGGCTAGTTGCCTATATAAAGAGAGATACCCTCAGAAACCAAAGTTGCTGGTTCTCAGATTGGCAGTACAGAAACTAAATCTGATGAGTATATTCACAAGAAAGGTGCTTTGTGAGTGAGTCATTTAAAAGGAAAAAAGTAATAATTTGAATATCAAACAGATGCTAGGAAGATAAATTTTTACATTTTACTTTATGAAATAGTGAATCTTTGTGTCAGAAACTGTTCAAGTTTATTTTTCTAAGGTTTAAGGAAAGAAAATTGCTTTGGGATACATATATATCTCTCCTCTCCTCTTAGTATGTGCACTAGAGTAATGAAAGTATTCTCCAGTAATGAAAGTATTCTCCAGCAATGAAAGCTGAAGATCATTTCTGAGCAATTTTAGAATTGTTTTTGATTGCAATCTGTGCTAACCCCTCAATGGGGCATTGGAGATAATTAGCCTTTCAGTATGTAAATCTATGAAATGCACGGTCATTCAAACACAAATCTCTGATGGAAAATTAATAGCACAGTTTATTCAGTGGCTGATTTCCCCGTGTTATAATTGCCTGGCTATAGGTAAATGTTTCCTTTCCTCTATTGACCAAACATCTTCAAAACACCATATACGCACAGAATACTGGTGAAGAGGAAATGCTCTGTTCATTAATACATGGCACTACTGTTAGTCTTAATTATGCTATGAGTTTCTAGAGTGAATAATACTTTAGTTTATTTGAATTTTAAAGACTTGTGTTCACTATTGTTTCCATGTTCAGAGCATGTGCTGAACTCTCTATAAAATAGGAATGAAATACATTAGAAGAACTTTGTGTATTAAATTTGAAAAAAAAGACACTTGGCTGGTGTGACTCAGTGGACTGAAGGTCACCCATTTGATTCCCAGTCAGGGCCCAGGTCCCCAGTGGTGGGTGCTCCAGAGGCAACCACACATTGATGTTTTTCTCCCTCTCTTTCTACCTCCCTTCTACTCTGTCTAATAAGTAAGTAAGTAAGTAAAGTGACATTTAAAAATTTCCATGAGGCCAGTGCAGCTAGAGCCAAATGAAGGAGAAGGTGGCAATGGGGCAAGAATCTCTGGGGGAGCAAGGGCCCAGATCTGATAGACCATTGCAAAGACTTTCCTTTTATTCAGAGGGATAGTGTAAACCACTGTAGGTTTCTGAGCAGAGAGATGACATGAACTGATAAATTGAGAAAGTGGAGGGTAGATTACAGCAGGAAAACTAAGGGCTGAAACAAGGTTATAATTTAGAAATAGTGAGTAGAGGCAGGCTCCTATATACAGAAAAGAGATTGACAGCCCTCAGGCAAGGAGGAGGGAGGTTATGGGGCTAGGTGGAAAAAGTGAAGAGATAAAGCTAAAAAAAAAAAAAGAAATCCCAAAACAAACAAACCTTAAAGGCCCACACAACAGTATGGTGATTATCAGAGGGAAAGCGGGGTAGGGGGAAGGTAGAAGAGGGGAATAGATGGTGATGGCAGGAGATTTGATTGGGTATTGTGAACACACAATACAATATACAGATGACGTATTATAGAACTATATACCTAAAACCTACATAATTTTATTAACCAATGTCACCCCAATAAATTCAATAAAAAAGGACAATAGAAATAATGGTCACTTGTAGTAGAAAATGAGTATGAGATGCTCAGATAATTATTCACATTCAGGACTTTTTTAAGTGGGAAAAACAGGATTTGCTAAGGGATTGTATGTAAAGTGTCAGAAGTTAAAATTACAGAAAGTGTTTTGCCTGAGCATCTTGAAGAATGAAGACACCATTTATTAAGATGATTTAAATTGTGACCTATTGGGTAGGTCACAAAAATTTATTTGGGGCATGTTAACTTTGAGGTTCCTACTAGGAACTTTGAGGTTCCACTGCATAGGTGTTAAGCATGCAGTTAGATATACAAGCTTGAAGTTCAGCTGAGATGTCAGACTTAAACTAATTTCATAATGTTTCAATTTAAGTGGCATTTACAACCCATGTTCTAGATAAATCCATCAAGGGAGTGAGCTTAGAGAGAGAAAAGGATCTGGGACTGAGCCCCAGGACACTGTCACATTAAGACATCAGGGAGAAGAAGAGAAACCAGTGATGGAGCAGCCTTAAGGAAGAAGGCAGGCCTAGAGAGGAAGGCATCCAAGAGTCCACTCAAGTTCAGGTTTCACAGAGAAGGAAATGATGTCAGGTGCTGCTGGATCTGCTCAGAAAGACTGATACAGCTTTTCAAGGGTAAAAATAAAGTCAATACTTGATTAAAAAATTCCAAGGTCCAGATATTCATTATTATTATTATAGGTATCATCTAAACATTTTTACCTATTTATTCCTTAATTTTTTGTCTTTAATCCAGACTTTCTGTGAACCAAAGTTGCTACTTGCACCTTTGACAATGTGCAAATTGAATTATGCCAGTTTTACTTGTGTGCTTTTGGTATATGAGACAAGAAGGATGCTAACCTCCATTTATACTGCTACGGAGAAATTAATGAGTATTTTCGAGTTCCTTGTTTGGTCACTTAATTGGCTGTGTGACAAAGAGCTCTGTGGTGCATGTCAAACAACTTTCGGAGTCCTCTAATGATTCGTGCTTTGCTTGACTTGTGATACTCTTCTGTGTGGCCTGTCAGGCTGGATATCCTTGTTAAAGTGGCTCGAATAAATTGGCTAGCGGTGTGCATAAATTGTAGTGTATTAACTACAGCAACAGGGAGTACTTTTAGCAGCTCTTTCAAGAGATTTCAATGTTTGCCCATAAGCATCAAAGCCAACCCAAACTTTCATTTAATATAATTAAAAGGACATCTGAAAGTAGTTTGAATCACAGCAGGTTCTTGAGGTTTGGTAACCCTTTGTTAAAACCATGTGAACTTAATATATTTCACAGCTTGATAAATCTGCACTTGATTTGTGTCAGTAAGAGAGAAAATACAAATCTGTACCCTGCATGTTTCTGGTGTCCTGAACCTATTGCTGAAAGACATTGAGATCAAAGAAAGTGACTTCTATCTACAAAACCAGAGGAGTTTTCTTTAGATTAAGAAGTCATAAGAATTCTCTTCCATAAATTGTAGTTATTAAATGCTTTTCTAAAGCAATCATTGACTCAAAAGTCCATAAAACCATATGTAATGTAAGCAGAGTAAATTATACAGGTATTATTTAAGAGTTTAGACAGGTCAGTTTATAAACGTAGTGATTCAAAAACCTCCAAAGGACAGTGACAGATGTTGATGATGGAAATCCTGCTTTGACATTGCAAGGAAAGTCATTCTGGGAATCTCTCAAAATCTCTGTAGTTAATGTGTCAGGCTAGCAGAGATGGCAGCTTTGCAAAGTCATTTATGACTGGCTCATCTATTTTACACATTTCCTTTACACAAGCAGAACACCCTGGCTGTCATTTTGTGTGCACTGGTTTCCCAAAGCTTCAGGAAGTAATTTAATGAGGATGAAAAAACAAAAGGCCTTCTGTTTTTAACTATAATGTTTTAATCAATAACAAAAGTATTTTCTCACTTATTTTACCAAATGGTATTCTATTGTTTTATAATCCCTGATCAAAGCCTGGGTCATTACTTAATTGTAAGATTGTTAATGTAAAGTCTACTCTAATGATCCTAGCTTTCTAAACATGAGTTTACCCTTAGGAAAAATTTAAATCCATAGAATGTAAGGAGATAGTTCTATGCAAATAGGAGAATACCCATCAATTTATTTTGCTATCACTTTAACAGTTTTATGATCACATAGCAAACCAGAAGGAAAAAGATATTTAAAGTAGTATTACAGATTTAAGATCCTACTTTCTGGAAGTATCATTAACTTTTCTGGTATAGGTCAGAAAAGAAATGGAAATTTTAAGGGGTAATTTGCAGCGAAGTAGTTGCCTGATGGCTTGGAACCAAACAAATGATATTTTAGTACCACTCCCAACAGAGTTATAATTTTGTTATTCTCCCTTATCGAATGTATGAATTTTGTACAGCTGGTAGTAACAGAAACGTAACTGTGGTAACTTAAACAAGCCAGGGCTTTATTCTCACATAAAAAAGAAATGCAGATATGACAGTCCAGGATTAGCATGAAAACTCCACATCAAAAAAGCAAGGTTTCATCTGTTTTTCTGCTCTATAATCTTTAGCACATGAGCTTCCATTCTCAATATGACAAGATAGCTACCGAGTTTCTAATCATCATTTCATGCTCATTTCTGAACAGGAAGAAGAAAGACAAGTAACCAAAGATTCATCTCTTGTACTGTAGAAGTCTCACCCAAATACTTTTGACCATATTGTGTGGGCTAGCCATTCTCAATAAACACTACATTAATTTTGCAGTGTCCAGTGACTCTAGACCTAAAGTAAGAGAGTTATTGGGTTGGCTAGCATTCTTAGGTGCAACCAGAAATACTTTGTATTCTTATCTAATGATAAACATTGATATCTTCATCTAGTTTTGACATAACCTACCATAGATTTATAACAATAGTATGGTTACATTTGAACCCTAACAACAAATTGTTATGTTGTTTTGATCTGTTAGTTATAGTCTGAGGGCAATCATTTTACTTAAAGAATAAAACAATTATTGCAAATTATTCTCAGATAGCATTTTTTTTTCAAGTAACTTTTTGAATTGCTAATATAGACACATGGTTTAAAATCCAGAAAGGGTTCTGGCTGGCATAGCTCCGTGGATTGAGTGCAGGCTGCGAACCAAAGCATTGTAGTTTCAATTCCCAGTCAGGGCACATGCCTAGGTTGCAGGCCACAGCCCCCAGCAACCGCACATTGATGTCTCTCTCTCTCTCTCTCTCTCTCTCTTTCTCCCTCCCTTCCCTCTCTGAAAATAAATAAATAAAATCTTTTAAAAAAATCCAGAAAGCAGGGAGTCTGCATTACTAACTCCGGGGCATGCCTCTGGCATTGTGATGTGTTTGTGTAGTTCCCACTTGGAGTGACATAGAGCAACGTTACATCTTACTTCTCTCCGTCATTCAGCTCTCCTTCAAAGCAGTCATTGTAACCGGCCTTTTATATATTCTACCAGAGAAAATTTTTAAAGTCATATTCATATATTTATAATGTTTCTTTATAAGTCTTCTCATACAGCCACAAAACAATATTGTTCTTCTTGCCTAGAGAAGAAGACTTTTGAATCAGCTTGTGGTAAATGAGGTACCTTTGTATTTCTGAAAAGAACAAACATGTAGAGCTGAGCACAAGGTAGACTTGCATCATGGTTTGTATCAACAAAACAACCTAACTCGTCATCAGTAGGGAACCAGGTGAATAAACTGCTATATCAAATAATGGAGTACTCCTGGGCCACAGGAAGAATGAGGTAGACTTTGGATTGAGTTAGAAAGATGAATGTCATATATTATGAAGTAAAAACAAACAAGCAAGCAAAAGCCAACAGATAGCAGCATTATTATAATGATCACATTTGTCTATATGTGTAAATATTTCCAAGTCTGGAGGGAACTACAATGAAATGTCAAAGTGATTCCTTTGGGGTGAGGTGAGGTTATTATTTCATAAACTTTCAGGTGGTAATTAACATATTTCTATATTTTGTAACTCTATTAGCATTCACTTTAATTTTTTTTACTAAAGACATTTTTTCAGTTTTAGATTTACAGAAATACTGACTGAATATTAGAGAAAATTCCCATATATTCCCCCTACAGATGCAGTTTCCTTAATTATTAAATTTATATTACTATTTATATTTAACATAATTTATTTTATTACAGTGTACATTTATTACAATTAATCAATATTGATATATCATAATTAACTAAAGTGCTTAGTTTATTCAAATTTCCTTAGTTTTTACTGTTTTTTTTCTGTTTTAGGATCCTTTCCAGGGTACCACATTACATTATATACATATGTACATACATACATACGTACACACATACTCATATACCTACATACATACATAATATTACAATCGCCATGTCTCTTTAGGCTCCTCTAATTATGACAGCTTTTTAGATTTTCCTATAGGAATGCCCTTTTAATTTCAGGGAAATATACTGTCCATTAAAAAATAATCTCTATACTTTAAGAAGCACATAGGAGTATTTATTGATTCACTCACATGTTCCAAGCACTGTTCCAGGTGCAACAATTCCAGGGTAAAGACAGAAGCAATCTCTACTCTTGTAGAGCTCACAACCTATTTCAGCAGACTGGAGTTTGGAAAGGAAATAAATAGTAAGTCAATCAAAATAATCATGGCAGAAATACTATGCAGAGAATGAAGAAAGCACCTAGCTGGTTACTTTAGATTGTGTTCATCTGGGAAGACATTCTAACAAGATGACAGTTAAGCTGAGTCCTGGCAGTATGAAATCAGCCATATGCCTATCAGGAGAGACAGCATTCCATGATCAGAGGTCACCCAGACCAAACAAGGTCATCTGAGGAGTGTTTGGAGAGTTCTGAAAATAGAAGGCCAATATCCTGAAGCAGTCAGTTGAAGGAGAACACAAGTGCAGGAAAACTATGGAAGGGAGTCAAGAAGGGAGTCTGAATACCATTAAAGAATTTAACTAAGGATGTGATGTTATATTTTTGCAAGATTATTTTGGTTGCAAAGTTAGTTTTATTCTAATGTCCATTCTTATAGCTTCAGCTATCACATTTATGTAGGTAATTCTCAAAACATATTGACTAGCTACACATTTAGAACTTCCATTAATACATTCTCTCTACTGCTGAATAGTGTTTCAAAAATGCAGATCTGATCATGACTTGACCCTGATCAAAGACTCTTCATTATTCTTTTTCTCTATTAAAACAAATTTCCTTTTTTGGACTACAATGTTTGAGAATTTGACTCTCTTTTTTTTTTTTTTTTTGCTGACTTCCCTTACATTTAACCAGTCCCTTCCATGGTATGTAGAATTCCCCTTGGATTCTATACTCCCAAATGACATAAGTACTTGCGATTCATTTCTTTATGCCTTTGTGGTCATAATACCTTGTGCTTAAATTACTTCTAGATTTATTCTCTTTTCTCATCCTTTCATTTCAGTAATTTTGACTTAATCTGTCAACACCCACTTCATATGTCAATTACTCTGAGCATTCATTGTCCCACTTAGTCTAGATAAATGCCCTCTTATGCGAATTTATAACACCTTCAGTTTTCTTCTTATTATAGCAATTATCAACCTGTATTTTAATATCTCTTCACTTTTCTATCTCTGAGCTCCTTGGAAGGAAACAGTGCCACTTTTATTTCTATATTCTCAAGACCTTTTAAATTGTTACTTAGCACATACAAAGTGACCTCTAAATATTTACTGTTTAAATGAAGCCTCAGACTTGTATTCCCCATTGCCTACTAGTATGTCCACTGCAGTAGAAATTCTCAAAACACTTTACCCTCATTATTGCCGTCTCTCTCCCATTTTCCTTGAAATTCACCTCATTAGTATTTTGCCCCACTACTTTATTTACTGTAACTGCATTTGTTAAGGTCATTAATGACATCATGCTGCTAAACTAAATAGTCAGTTATCAATCTATCTTATTTGACCAATCAGAAGCATCTGACAGAGTTGATCACTTCCTTTTCCTTGTTACACTTGGATCATTACAACTCATCCCATTGATGTTTCTCTTGTTTTGATGCTTCCTTCCAGTCTTTTCTGATGCTTCCTTCTCTTCACCCAAACCCTTAAGATTGGAGTGCCCTCTAGGTCAATCCTTAATCTTCTTGTTTTTTCCTTTTCACTGTCACTCCCTTGGTAACCTCTCTGATTGAAAAACCACCTCTATAATGCGACACACAAATATTATCTCCAGCACAGACTACTCTCCTGAACTCCTAAATTATTTTTCAAGCAAACTTCTCAATATCTTCATTTTATTGAGAAATAGAAACCTCAACCATTCCATGTCCATAACTGAATTTTTAATGTCTACCCACAACTAGTTTTATATGCAGTCCTAACCTACTCAATATATATGGTTCAGCCCCACCCTACTGTGTCTTTCTGTTTGCTCCAAAGGCAGCCTCCTTCAGGTTTTGGAACATGCAAAGCATGTGCTCACTTGGCAACTTTTACTCTGATTGTTCCCTCTGATTGGAATATCTCCTTTAAATATCTACATGGTTAACTCCCTCAACAACTTTGTCTTTTTTGAATTGTTATATTTTCAATGATGCCTACCTGGATTGTCCTACCTAAATCATAAGCCACCATTTCCCCAACCCTACTCCTGACCCCTGACTCTAGGTCTCCCTGTCACATTTCCTTTTATTTTCTATGGTACTTAGCATCTATCTAGCTAGGTACCTACCTATGTATGTATCCACCTATGTATCTATCAATCATCTATCCATTTTTTCATTCCTTGCCAGAAAGTTCAGGGTTTATTTTTCTCTATTTTGTTTAAACTGTATCCCAAGTGTTTAAAGCAATGTTGGCACATCTTAAATGCTAAAGAAATATTTATTGATGAAAAATGTCCTACTTTAAAGTAAAAATATACAATATTGAACTGATTATCCTTCAAAAGCATCTTTTCCTTGTTTTTTCTCTTAATTTTCTAACCATCCTACAACTTACCCAGAAAAATAATCCATTGTTATTATTGTTTAAAGAAGGGCCTTTTGGATTCTTTTATGTCTGAGTTCATTTTGAAGCTGATGGTAACCCTCTTCCCTTGACTTCTGTGATACCACATAGTTCTAGCTACATTTTCTTTATCTCTGTTGTCCATTAATCCTTCTGCATTTTCTCCCCTATTGTTAGCGTTTCTGAGCCATCAGTTTTTCTCTCTATACTCATTTTATCTGGACAACATCAGACATTTCAGAGGCTTCCATGAGCTTATGTGAATTTATGATGCCTGAACCTCAATGTTGGATATTTGCATAACTTATAAGCTAAAGGAGTTAAGAACATGCCACCCTCAAATATACCACTTTGGCATATTGATTATTTTGAGATGAAGGCAATTGAAAAATATTCAATGTTCTCTCCCTTTCTGCTTAAGAGCAAGACCATAAAATTTTCCATGTAGCCGTCAGAGAAGAACATTCTTATCACTAGAGCCTGTCAGTCAAGGCCAAAATGGATCTTTGCAAACAAATGTACTAAAATAACTCTTATCTTCCATTTCTTTCTACTATGCATTTTCTAGTCACTTTCCCTCAATTTACTGCTGCTAGAAGCTTAAACCATTTTTCTTTATCTTGTCACACCACAAATTTATCATTCTTTGTTTAAAAAAGTATGTAGGCTCTAAGTGCTACTTGCTTCTTCAGGCCTTCACATTTTCTATAAAAATTCTCGTGTGTACATAATATTAAGTAAAATTTTTGTGCTCTTCTTCTGTTAATCTATCTTTTGGCAGTTTAATTCTCACGCCCAGTCACAGTGCCTAACAAGGCAGAGGAGAGGATTTTCCTCACCTACCAGGCTTATCTAAACCTTTCTAATTGTTGCCATTCAAGTATTTTGCCTTCAAAATAGGCAACTCTGAATTTATCATGCTTAGCACATTCTTCCCACAAATACATTTATACCCTCCACCTTTTAATGAATAGAAAGTTGTCCCTCTTCCTTTATTCCCATTTCAAGTCACTTCATTGCCTATTTCCAAATTCTGTGTACTTCACTTTTTATTTCTCTCACCAGCTGACTTTAATGAATGAACAACTCCTTTTAAATATCTTTGGAATCTCTATTTTTCTCCATTCCCAGAGCCTGAATGCATGGATTTAAACCTGGATTCTGCCTTATGTTAGCTAATTATCCCATAGCAAGTTACTTCTCTGAGTCTCAATTTTCTCACTGCAAGATGAGGGTAATGATCATATCTACCTCCCTGCGTTACTGTCAAAATTAAAGAAATTGATGCATAGAAAGCATTCAGATGAGAGTCTAGAACATACTCAATAAATATTAACCATTATAACTTATATCACTCCCCTACTTTCCATTTTTCATTGACTTCTTGTTACCTTTAGGAAGAATTGCAGATATCCTACTGAACATGGTTTGCAAGCCTCTTTGAAAACTAGCTTTCACTCATCCACTAATCTGGCCATTGAACCATCTGTACTCTGTTCTTCCATAAGGAACTGTTTCCAGTTCCTCCGAGGTGAATGTTCTTTTTCACCCGTGTACCGATAAGCACATCGTCTATCCCTTGCTTGTCTAGTCAATGTGTATTTTAAGCTTGGAATTATTCTGATGGAGACTTTCCAATACAGAGCTTGAATCCTATGTTTCCACTATTATAATGCCTCTCACATAGTATCTTAATTACTTGTTTAATTATCTGGCCTCACACTATTGTCATCATTTTGAGGGAGAAAGAACATATCTGTTTTTCTTTCAGCATTCCAGTTGAAGTTACTTAGTTAATATTTGCTGAATGAATGTTGAGTTAGAAAGAAGTTTGTTATGTTTAGAGCTCCATTTAATGCCTGTATCACAATAGATATTTATTTGGGAGGATTCAATTATTTAACTATAAGTCATATTTACAAAATAAGTCAATAATAGCTTGCTAAAAACAAATCATTTTTAAACAAGTGGTCCCTTGAAGGGGCAGAGTGTTTTCTATGAAATTTTAGTTTCATCTTGTTCTACTCTTAAAAGTTCCTATTATATATTAAGGTCAGTTGTGTTATACCATCTAATTTTAATTAAGACTTGAAAATGCCAGCACTTCACTGTAATACAAAGGGGAATTTAGAGATTAGCAGTGTTTATATGCTTAATAATATGAAATGACAGTGATTATAAAAAAGAAACTTGGATTTATTGATCAGATGTGTAAATATCAGTCACTTAACTTGACTTCTAAAAAAACCCTGCAAGTTTAAGACTGTTTTGAAGACTTATAACACTTGACCTTTAAAATTTTGATTTGAGTCAATATCTAAACATAAGTAAAATGTGCCCTATTCCGTATGATTTTAACTTTATACTCTATTTTAGTTTATTCTCAACTGAGAAACTTCATATCAAGAAGACAAAAATGAAGAGTTGAAGTTCTTATTTTTAAAAATTATATCTAAATATAAACTAGCTGCATAAATATATTCATAAAACAAGAGATGAGAGCAGAAAGACCTGAAAACTTATTTTTACCTCTCTCTATTTGCTGATAGTTAATCATGAAGAAAAATATTTAAACATAACTCTATATAACATATAGTAAGACTAAAACAACAATGTGCAGCAAAATTATTACAGTATATATTGATAAAGAAATATTACCATCAGAACATAACAGAATACAAAGATGTGGAAGTAAATAGTAAAGTATTTCTAGGCAGTTTCAAAAATGTCAACTATTTACTGATTTTTTTTTTGTT